AAATTCTGCATTGAATAAATGTTGAATCAATATTGAATTAATGTTTCTTGTCTTGCAGACATTGCAATTCAGCGGACATTAGACATTTCTTCAATATTTTTTCAACATTGAATCTATATTTCGCAACGTTGCTGAAACATTCATAATGTTACAATTCTACGTTTTTTAGATATTGATTCAACGTTTGTGTGCTGTATGGGTATGTATCATATATATTCAAAACACCTGATATTCTTGAAATTGTGATTCAAAACAACCTGTTTTTGAAATATCATATTTTTGAATGAATTCTGAGAGACAATTTTCCTTTTACAAAATTTTGTTCAAAGCTTAGTTTTCAAATTATAATTGAAAATAGTTAGCTACTTTACGAGTCCGATACAGCGGGCAGGCAGAGACGTTGCAACGTATTATAAGATTAACGTAAGGGCCTGCGCAGAATGATTGATTTATCGGTTCAAGACAATATTTTATGTCTTAAGTCTAACGCACAATAACGCAATAATCCCATACAGCACAGAATATTGCAGCAACATTGCGGCGATATTGCAACATTCCAGCAACATTACAAGAACATTGCAATATTGCCGCAATGTTGCTGCAATGTTTTGTGCTGTATGGGCAATAACTGTTTCGTATCTTAAGTCTTAAACGTGCATATCAGATATCAACGTTTGCAAGAAATAAATGTATGTATACAAAGGCAATAAACTAACAATATATTTATTTTTTTTGTCTTGTACTAAGAAGTCAGTCATTCTGTAAAGACCCTAACACTTGACAGTCTCATGATGCGTTGCGCATTCCTGCCTGCCCGTTGCACTAGACTCGTAAGCTACCTATTTTCGATTATAACTCGAAAACTAAGCTTTCGACAAAATTTTGTAAAAGGAAAAATCATCTCAGAATTCACTCAAGAATATGACATTTTAAAGGTCAAGTTATTTTGAATCACCCTTACACAACACACACACACACACACCAGTGTTCCGACCGGTTGTATGCGCATGTGCGGCAATACGGCGTCAGTACAGTGTCTCATACAAGTTAAACAAGGCACCGTTACCCCCCTACATTTAAAATATTTCAAAATTTTTTGAAATTGATTGAAATTTTCTACTTCTTGGTTTTTAGCTGCTGGCTCCGTAGATTCCATGCTTGTAAATAAATAAATATTACTTATTTGTAATCACCTAAC